CTCCAGTTTCATCCACCAATGCTACACGTCTGCACACTTTGTATACCTAAGGAGTGCCGAGGGGGGATAAGACAGAGAAGCGAAGAAGTCACGAAAGGGAGGAAAACATGGCTTACCAAATGCGGGGGCAATAAATTCGAAAGCGAAATAAACCAAAGGAAGGAGTGCGAACTGCACACAGATGTAATACACACCTTTTAACAGCGAAAGAATTTGAATAGCGTGAGCGAATACGTACAGTTATTGTGGTACACATTCAAGAAAAAAACTGCCGATTGATAAAAAAGGGGTCATGTCATCGAGAAATAAAGATATTTAGTGACCAGAGTGCTTTTACTGTATCCACGCATTTCTGCATTTTTCACGAACGCGCCTGAGTGCAATCATAAAATTTTGATGCGGCTTGCCTTATCCAATGGATTTGAACTTTTACATGGCTACATGTCGTGACTATGGGATCCGCCCCGTCTGGTGTTCATCACACACTGTTACGAAATAAGAAGTCAACTTTACCCAACCTACTTCGGATGCACCCCCTGAATATTGAATAAAAATTGCAGATGATGGCAGAAGAGTCAAACGTATAGGCAACGTTGTGATCGATCGTTCGTGATGTACCACCAATGAGCAAAGTGCATACTACTATCACCACCAGAATCACCGACCTTTACCACTTCGTCGAGCCCCATTGGAAACCGTTTCACTGAAAACTCGTAACTTCCAGTAAGGTTACTGCAGTGAGGCAAATATCATTGGTAGTCATCAATAAAAATAACTCCGTGACAAATTTAATGCAAACTTTTTAGTTTGGTCCGTACGATCCACTAGAGCCCCAATTTTTCTGTTATGTTGTCACAGAAAACCGATTTGAAACGACAAATAACAAAAAATAGGTTTCGAGTCCCAGATACGTGAAAACCGCGGGCACTACACAATGTGATTACGTGATTCAAGGTATAGAATCCGCGATACACTCAGGAATGGTTATATCATCTTATCGCCCGGCTGACGTATTTTATCCCCATTCATTTAAGGAGCGGGGACAGGACTGCGTTCTCATCGGTCATGAGGACCTGCAGGCTGCTCGACTTTTAGCATTCAGGAGTTCCAGATCATGCCACTCACTTTTTCAAATCGTTCTTTCAGTCCACGTTCCATCCATACTCCGTCAGTGACAACTTCGGGAGGAATTTTCTCCAGAATCGCCAAAGCAAACGGATGGTTGCCAGTGGAAGCGGCTTCCTTCACCGCTTCGACGAACTCTTTCAGCGGGCCAGTCACATTGACTTCCGAATAGGTCACACCATGCGTAGTGGTTGGTCGTGCAGATGATAAACTACAAGCGAGCGCTTCACACGCGATCCAAAGAGCTTGTGTTTCTTTGGCCAATTTGTCTAGTTCCGCTCGACCTTAATCACGATCAGAGAGAATGAACAATTGTTAGAATTAGAGCAGCACAGAAGAGGTACAGGTTCACCATGAAAAGCACTATTTTTCGATTACCGAACAGCTGGTATGATTTATTCAAACAGGATGATGCGAAAGAAGTAAATCAAAGGCTGTTACGCGAGACCTACATATGTCACCTCGACTGATGATGAAACGTTTGCAAACAAACCGCCAAGCTCGCCGAACAGGCGAAATAGAATTCGATTCACCCGAGCTACGAGAACCGATTTCCAATATTTATGACTATTATATTATATTTCACACTTGCTTGAGGAGAGACTGTGTGCCAAACAAATCATGGTACAAAAATCTTTATAAAAAAGAAATGTTCCATGATTGGCTTACAGGCTAAGGACTGCCAGGTTACCTAGGCCGGGGCAGGTGAATTTTCTTGAGGAATCCACAAACGGAGCCTTC